AAAAAATCATTCAGTTAAGTTTCAGAATTTATGAATTTATACATTATTACATAGCTGGTCTACAATCACAATAATTTACTAAATCTTTGATGTATAAACTCTAAAATACCTTTTAAACTAAACAGTGTAAAAGTTTAGATATTTGATTGTTACAGTATTGAGCTTATAAAAAAAATATAGAAGACTTAGAAGATTTGTTTTTTTATTCTATTAAAAATAATTCTGAAGCAGAAACTATGCTATCAATATCAACAAAATAGTTATTATTAACAACACTATCAGCTTCAAGTGCTAGTAGTTTAGTTTAGAAAAAATGAAAAACTATTTACTCTACTTTACTTAATAAAGCAGATACTAATTCTTATAGAACCATAGCTATACAATCTATTTTTTTCATTCTGATTCAAATGATTCTTTTATTTCTTATTGTAAAATATATGAAGCTAATTTGGTTGGTATTTATAAAAATCCTTATCCATATAATCAAAAAGGCAGGAATACTACAACCTCATCAACCATTTATACAACAAATATAAAATTACAAAAGAAAATTATTTAGAATTTTTAGATAAATATAATGAAGTATATATACTTATATATAATATATTTAAAAGTTTTTTGTATTAATTTTTTTTAATTTACATTTTACAGCCTTGGCATGATCAAACAAAAATAACTGAATATTTAAAGATAGCAGCTCTATATTCACTAAAATAACAGAAACTTATTATATAAATACTTGTTTCTTTTATTGTCAATTTTGTTTAGCCATTATATACTTTACAAAATCTGTTCTTTTGTGAACTTCTCCTTATCTGTGAGCCTGGTTATAAAATTCTATATGATAAAATAGTAAAAGCAATAATTTATGATTTATATATATAAAACAAGGAATAGCTTCATTTACTTTTAAATAATAATGCTATTGCTATTTATTTGATTACTAATTTTGGACTGCAAAGTCTTATCATAGATATTTTAGCATAACAGCAACCTGATTGACACCTAACTTTAAATTTTACAAAGTACTTTTAACTTGCAAACATCTTTTATATTTACATTTAGGTGAGGTTATTAGTACTGAGTTATTTTAGATTATAAATAACTGAAATTTGTCAAATATAATATTTACCATCGTAACTAACAATAGAGCTAATATGATTAAGGGTATTCAATTATTAAGTGAGCAACACTTATTACAAGTTAAACAACAACCTTGAGTTGCTTACACATTGTAGCTTTCAGTTTTACAAGGTTTGAAGCAATACAAACAAGTTTATTGTTGAGTAAAAAGTTGGCAGAATTTTTTTCATTTACTAAAGCAGGCTTAAAGACTTCAAGAAGCTCAAAAAAGATCTGAGCAATCATTAGATAATTATGTTGATTGTAATCCACTTGATGTTTTAACTAATGTTAAGACTAGGTGAAATTCAGTTTATTATGTTTAGAAGAGAATATTAGAACTATACAATTCGATAAGATATATTTTTATAATATTACTAACAAAATCAGATAGAATATTACAACAGAAGGGTGAAAAATTAGAACAGCTATATTTATCTCTTGACAAAAAAAATAAGATTGAAGTAATTTTATATTAAGAAATTTTAGAAATAAAATCTATTTTCTATTTTTTTTTTTGAGTAGATCTATTTTCATTTATTATAAAATACATCTATAGCAATTTGGCACCTATCATATATTTTTATTATATTTTATGAATTTTTTTATATTTTTTGTATATAACCTTTTTAATATAGTCTTTAGGGTTAGAATTAAAGTTTGAAAAAAGTTTTGGGACATAGAACATTTTTATTTAAAATATCCTGTACAAATGAATTAGTTAGTTTTTAAGATAATGTATTCATAGATGTAAAACATAATAGATGTATTTTTAGTAGATCTTTATATTAAGTTTTTAGTTATAATTATTAATAACTAATATGTACATAACAATAAAAAAGCTTTTTTTATTATTAGAATTGTAATTACAACTTCGATTCAAAGTTTTTATTTCTAAAATTCATTATTTTTTCTTTTTTTTTAATTTTGAAACTCATTAATTGCTATTATTATATCTTCTTTTTTAATAAGATTTCTTCAGGATGCAATAAAGCTTTTATCTCTATTTGAAAAAATAATATGTTGAATCTGTAGAGCCAAGTATTATACTTTAAATCTTGTTTATCCTTATATAGAATTATTAAAAAAGGTATTTGAACCTAAATACAATAGTAGAGAAAATTATGATATATACTTTAGTTTAATTTATGGACCACAATGTGAAAATAAGAATGAAGAGAAAACTAATAGTTCAATTAATGAAAGTAATAAAATTCTATCTGGTGGTTTATGGCATATTGGCAATATGTTTATTACCAATTTTGACAAAGAATGCAGATATCCAAAAAAAAAGAAAGAGACAAAGGTAAAAAAAGAATAAATAGCTGCTGTGATGTCAAAAAAGAAATAAATGTAGATAATTTCAATCATATTGAATATTTACTAGCTATCAATACTACTGATCTTTTTCAAAAAGTTTGGATAGCTATTTTTTTTATT